AGACCTGCATGCCCCACCCCAGGGAGGGGCAGGAGGCCCCAGACTCGCCTCAACAGATGAGAAAGCAGATCCCAGAGCAGCAGGGGCTGTGAGGTGGCCGAGTGGAGCCCAGGTTTATGAAAGGCACCCAAGGTCCATGCTGGCAGGAAGGGCCAGGCCGAAGCCAAAGCTGCCCCGCGAGGCAAAGCCATTGCCCAAGGTGTACAAGAGGCTCTGGAGTGGGGAAGCTTCAGAGCAGGGCTCTCAGGAGGCCTTCCTGGAGGAGGTGGCTAAACAAGAATGTGCCGGGAGGACAGGTGCGAGAACAGCCCAGGGGACACTGGGTCTCGCCTCCACCATCAGGGGGCCTGGAGCCGAAGGACCTTCCCGGGAACCAGGGGCCCTCGGGAACCATAAACCAACTCAGTCTGATGTCAAAATCCCCACGCCCCCCCCCCCAAAATAAATAAAAATAGTTTTTAAAAATCCCCTTGCCCCTAAAACAAAATAATAAATAAAAATAGTTTTTAACAATCCCCTCGCCCCCTAAAAAATATAAAAATAGTTTTTAAAAATCCCCTCGCCCCCACTCGTCGCTGGCAGAGCTATGGGGACAGGAGACCTCCAGGCCTCCGCCCACCTTCCCGCACAGTGCAAGCTGCCCGCCAGCCTGGCTCAGGGGTTGAGTGTTGACCTGTGAACCCGGAGGTCACGGTTTGATTCCTGGTCAGGGCACACCTCTGGGTTGTGGGCTCCGTCCCCAGTGTGGGAAGTGCAGGAGGCAGCTGATCAATGATTCTCATCGTTGATGTTTCTATCTCCCTCTCCCTTCCTCTCGGAAATCAATAAATATATTTTTTAAGAGGGAGGGAGGGAGAGAGGGAGCGAGAGAGAGCGCGCGCAGAGCGAAGCCAGCACCCTCGGAGCCGTCCGAGTGGCCCTGCTGACCCAGCTGGGAGTCCCCGCATCGAACCACCGTGGCCCTGCTGTGTGCTCACTGGTCCCAGAGTCCGCCTGGGAAGGACCTAGACCTTGGCCTCCCCGCCCGGCGAGCGAGTGGGTCCCTGGGTCCCGGACAGCCCTGCCCCTGCCCCTGTCCTGAGTCTTCGCCCTTCGAGGCCCCTGGGCCCCGGTCTGCGCTG